GCGTGATTTTTACTGAACTTCACAAATTTTAAGACAGTCCAAACATAAGCAGTCCGTCTCTCATTGATTATCGGTTCATTGGCTACATCACAGTATCTTATTGCGTGTGATACAGGCTGTTTGACGGTGTAATGATGTTACAATTTACAGGTACTATTTTTAGGATTGACATCATTTCATCTTAAATTAAGGCAATCATGTGGTATCTAACTGGATTTCTTAGTTTTATAGAATGCTAAGATTCTGCCTTAAAACTGATCTGTCAAGGTGTTTTCAGCACAGTGGGCATCGTCCATCATATCATAATGGAGTCCTAGATACTCTGCTTTCAATGCAGCTTCCTCCTAATAAACATCTTGAGAGGCAGCAGAGAGCCTGCCACCCACATGGGAAACCCAGATGAAGTTATTGGCCTAGTTTTAGCAATTGCCGGCATTTGGGTGGTGAACCAACAGATGGAAGATCTTTCTATCTCTACCTCTCTCTTCAAAAAAAAAAAAAAATAATAACAATAAACATTTAAAAACTCATCCCTCCCTACACTGCACGAAGAAGAAGTTTTTCTTACTTACAACATGGAATGGGAAAAGGAGAAGGGCCCGAGTCCTGTGAAAGAGGGCATATTTCTGCCTTTGATAATTCAAACATAACTAGGAGGCAGACATTTGGCACAGTGCTTAAGACCAGGCTCAGGATGCCTGCATTCCACAGTAGAGTGCCTGGGCTTGAATTCCCTGGCTCCAAGCCCCACTCCAGCTTTCTGCTAACGTGCACCCTAGGAGGCGTGGTGATGACACAAGTGGCAGTGTTCCTGCCACCCACATGTGAAACCGGGAGCGCATGCCTGGCTGCGTCCTAGGGGGTGGGGGAGTGAACTAATAGACAGCAGATCTCTCTACCTATTTCTGTCAGGTTTCTTAAAATAAATAAATAAATAATTATTTAAGTTGACAATTCAATGCTAAGAATTTTTTTCTTTAGCAGATTTTTTTTTAAATTTAGGTGAACCCACTGCACTTCAATTCTCAATACAGTGGGCCCACTCTAGGATAGCAGATTTTTCTCAGTATTCGAGAATTGGGACTCTTCCTGGGTAAGCAAGGGTATCTGCTGCTAACCTGTAGCCTTAACAAAGATCTGCTCCAGTGTGAGCAGTCAAAATTCAAACACACTGCATCCCCCTGCTCACCACTACTAAACCCTGTTTTCTTTTAATTAAAAAAAAAAAAATGTAGAGGTCATCCCTCAGCTTTGTTTACAAGTAATGAGTCCAGCAGCCCCCATTTATCACCCCTGGAGATCCTTTTACACTTTGATGTGAAAAGAGTCAGGGCCCATTGTGATTTCAACCACTCCGACAGCAGTCCTTTTATTTGCAAACGAAGCTGTGGCTCCCAGTATGAAACAGCTGTCAGAAAGAAAAAAATTCATTGCCTTTTCTTCCAATCATTTATCGGAGACAGTAGAAGTAGGCTGGAGAAGTTGGCAGAGAAAACTTTCCCAGCACACCCTTAAATAGCATCCCTACCTTTTCTAGTCAGACAGCCCTTTCCCAAACCTTACTACGTATGCAAGGAAAATGGCTTCTTTGAAACCATCCCGTGTGGAGTCAGTTTCTCCCAAGGGACCTAACACTATTGATTGCTTACATTTTCCTATCCTAAGACAGCTCTACAGTTTCCTTCAGAGCTAGAAACACCGCAGCATCCTGACTTGCCTACAACACACCCCGCCATCCCAACAATGAGGTCAGAAGGAACTCCCTCCTCCCCCTTTCAGTATCTCACATGAAAAAGAACTAATATTGCAGAAGTTAAGAATTTTCTGAGGTAGTGGTCAAAAGGAGGAAGCATGCAGCGCAACTGAGGGGATTTTTTATTTAAATAAGCATTTAAATTAGAATTTACATATACATATTTTTAAAATGCACAGCTCACATAATGACTTTCCACAAAGTCAATGGGCCATTGTACCACCAGTCATATCAAGACACAGACACCAGCAAACCAGAACTATGAAGCTAATTTAAGCAAAAACATCTATATTGACTCTAGCAAGTTTCAAGAGTTAAATTTCATTCCTCAGAACACGTGCAATGAAACCAGTCTTTCAACCTCAACGCATCTGAATTTGAACTTGAAGGCAAAAAATCCTGACTTAGAGAAGGATGTCCTGGGCACTGCACATGTGTAGCACAGTGTCCCTGGCTCTAGCCACTACACTGTGACAACCAGAAATCTCTCCAGCATTGCCAAATGTCCCCGAAGTGGCAGGAAGGGAACCATACCCAGCTGAGAACCACTGGTACATAGGAACAAATTAAACACACCAATGACAACCACACAAGGCAGAGTACACATTCCAGCGTGCCTCTCACCCTGTCATTATCCTCACCTCACAAATAAGTAGGTTGAATGCTGCAGATTTGAGACTGAAAACACAAAGCTTCATATACTGGATGAACTTTGGTCAGCCCATAGCAGTCCAAAAGCAACTTTATAGATGTCTTAAAACAATCTGGCAAGTGTGGATAATGGTTAGGTTTCATATGGGTCCAAAATGTTAATCTTGTTAAATAAAAAAATGCTCATTTTCTAAAAGATGCACATAAAGCACCCAGCAGTGACAAAATAGTTTCTATAATTCGCTTTAAAATAATTCCACAAAGGAGGAGGACAGATTTTTAAATTGTAATAGTATCTTGAAAGATGCTGTGTCTGAGAAAAGTGAATTTAAAAAATAAGTTAAACATCTTTTCTACTTCTATTAGTCTGAATATTTCCGTGGTAAAATTTTTACAGTAAAGAAGGAAGGAGCAAAGAGAACTGATGTCAGTTCTACACCAAAATTTAGGTTATTAGAGCAAATGAGTAGCAAGATAAATTCTTTACTGCTGCAATGTATGAGTATTTCTCTTTCTTACATTTAGACTCACTGTTCTTTCTCAAAAAGAGCTACTTGAGGAGAAGGCATTTTGGCCAAGTGATGAAGACACCTTAGATGATCTGGGTTCAACCTACGGCTCCACTGCCGTTTCCAGGTTCCTGTGTAAGCAGACCTGGAGACACAGTGGGGATGGCTCAAGTAGTTAAGTTCCTTCACAAATACAGGGAAACCTGGATTATATCATAAATCCTGAGGCCGACCTAGTCCTGCATGTTGTGGGTTTCTGGGGGCAAAGTGAACAAGAGGAAGATCTTTCTCTCCAATTCCTGCCCCCAATAATATTTTTTAAAAGGAAATCTTGAACCATGTCATGCTTTCAATACCTTTAGGAAGATTTCTTCATTTCACTGTGTCTATCAACTTTTTTTTAAAGATTTACTTATTTTTATTGCAAAGTCAGATATGCAGAGAGGAGGAGAAACAGAAAGATCTTCCATCTTCCATCTGATGATTCACTCCCCAAGTGACCACAATGGTCAGAACTACACTGATCTAAAGCCAGGAGCCTCCTTGGGATTTCCCACATGGGTACAGGATCCCAAGGCTTTGGGCTGTCCTTGACTGCTTTCCCAGGCTACAAGCAGAAAGCTGGATGGGAAGCGGGACCACTGGGACTAGAACCAGAGCTCATATGGGATCCCAGTGCACCCACGGCGATGACCTTAGCCGCTAGGCAACCATGCCAGGCCCAACTGTATCTATTAACATCTCAACTAGGTAAATGTATACTATCTACTCATGTTTTCAATTCTTCAAGGTACCAGAAACAGTGTCACTGCACTGCAGGCTGGGAAGAAGGTATCACGTGATAAAGACATCAGGACTTGCTGGTCAAAAGCAGAAATGAGGACCCGGCGCAACAGTGTAGTGGTTAAAGTCCTCGACTTGAACACGCCAGGATCCCACATGGGAGCTGGTTCGTGTCCGAGCAGCCCTGTTTCCCATCCAGCTCCCTGCCTGTGGCCTGGGAAAGCAGTCAAGGATGGCCCAAGGCCTTGGGTTCCTGCATCCATGTGGGAAACCCAGAAGAAGCTCCTGGCTTCTGGCTTCGGACTGGCTCAACTCCAGCTGTTGTGGTCACTTGGGGAGTGAATCATCAGATGGAGGATCTTCCTCTCTCTCTCTCCTCCTCTCTATATATCTGCTTTCCAACCAAAATAAATAAATCACTTAAAAAAAAAAAAAAAAAGCAGAAATAACCTGCTTAGTGCCTTCTGTGTAGAAAACTGACCAAAATCAATCTACCTGCCCTAGCAAAACCTATCTTCTGGTAACATATTCAGAGACAAATTTCACTCCAACCCCATTTCCTCCACTAAAATGAGGCTGCTTTGCAAACAAAAACAGCTGTTCCTTAGTTGGAGTTTAAAAAAAAAGAAAAAGTGGGTACCTGGCACAATGACCCAGTGGCTAAATCCTCACCTTGCATGTGCCAGGATGCCATACGAGCACCTGTTCAAGTCCTGACTGCTCTACTTCCCATCCAGCTACCTGCTTGTGACCTGGAAAAGCAGTAGAGGATGGTCAAAAGCCTTGGAATCCTGCACACATAGTGGAAACTTGCAAGAAGTTCTGGACTCCCAGCTTCAGATCAGCTCAGCTCCAGCCATTATGGCCACTTGGGGACTGAACCAGTGGAAAGAAGATCTTTCTCTCCATGTCTCCTTTTCTCTGTAAATATGACTTTACAATAAAAATAAATAAATCTTTATAAAAAATTTAGTAGCCCTTTAGGGCTGATGTAACCCCGAGCAATTTTAGTTACTACCAATCTTAACTTGGACTAATTACCTAAAACAAAAAATGTCAACTCTCTGGACTAGAATCCAGTACGCAAAAGACACAGAATAAGTATGATTTCATTCTCATCCAATTCTCAGCATTAGAACAGTTTGGGGCTGGAGGCAAAGAGAAACACCACACAGAAATGAATCGGGAGCCAACCGAGGCTGCCTGTGTCCCATATTGGCGCACCTGGTTGAAGTCTAGGCAACTGCAGGCTTGATTCAGCTTCCTATTAATACGCCTGGAAAGTTGCAGAAGACGACACACACCGTTTCCTGTCATCCACATGGAAGACTCAGATGCAGCTCCTGGAGTCCAGCTCCGACTGGCCCTACCCTAGCAATTGTGTGCATTTGGGGAGAATCTTCCTCTGTCTCTTCCTCTTGGTCACTCTGCCCCTCAAATAAATAAAGCTTCCAGAAAAAAAATATTCTAAAGATGACTTAAGTAATAGTATGGTCTAGGAGCGAGCAGTCTTCTCTTAATCATCTACCTAAAAGAAAATGCACACATGTGACATTATTCATAACATGAAAACAGTGTACATAACCTAAATGTACATTCACTGTTAAATGGTAAGCAAAGATGGTTTATCCAGAGAGGGCAATATTTGCTGATAAGAATGAACAAACCACACATACATGTAACAACATAAATAAACCTTAAGTGAATGAAACGAGTCACAAAACCAACCACACATTAGGTAATTGCATTTATATAAAATGTCCAAAAGATCGACAAGAGTATTAAGGAGACTGTCACTTGGGGCTCAGGAATGAAAGTGGGATGAGCTGAATACAATTTAATCTACCAGAGAACCAAACCACTCTGAAATTGGATTGCAGTGACAGTGCAAAATTTAGTAAGTTTTCTAAAACAACTAAATTGCATACTTGAGAAATTATAGAAATTATACAATAAAGCTGCTGTTGTTTTAAAAGTTGACAATGTCAGGCCAGTTTTGTGGCGTATCACGTAAGGGTGCCATCTGCAATGAATGCCAGCAGCCGATATGGGTGTCAGTCGGAATTCTGGTTGCTCCACTTAGGATCCAGCTCCTTGAAAATACACTGGCAAAGTGGCAAAGCATGTCCCAAGTGCTTGGGCACCTGTACCCATGTGGGAGGCTCAAAAAAGCTCCTGGCTTCAGTCTAGTTCATCCTTGGCCATTGTAGCCATTTGAGAACTGAACCAGTAGATGGAAGATCTATCTCCACCTCTCTCTCTCCGTAACTGTGCCTTTGAAATAAATCTTTAAGAATTAGGAGAAGAAGAACATAATTCACTTGAAGAATAAGCATCATGCAGCAGCAGTTTTTTCCTTTTTTCTTTTTCTCATGTGAGTTAAGATAATTCCACAGAAAATATAATTAAGTGTAAAACAGATCACGGTAAAACCTCTACACTTTGCATCACAGTTTTATTTTGAAATAAATACTTTTGGGAAACCCAGCAGTAGCCTAATGACTAAAGTCCTCGCCTTGCACATACGCCAGGATCCCATATGGGTGCTAGTTCATACCCCGGCTGCTCCACTTCCCATCCAGCACCCTACTTGTGGCCTGGGAAAGCAGTCAAGGCTGGCCCAAAGCCCTGGGACCCTGTACCCATGTGAGAGACAGGATGACGCTTCTGGCTCCTGGTTTCAGATTGGCTCACCTCTGGCCATTGTGGCCACTTGGGAAACAAACCATTGGATGGAAGATCTTTCTCCCTGTAAATGTGACTTTCCAATAAAAATAAACAAATCTTAGAAAAAAAAAAAAAACAAACAGCTTCTAAAGTTAATCGATCTGCCCAAACAGCCAAGGTCAAAGAACAAGATCTCAACACAAGCTATCTGGCCCCATTGTCCCACACTTAACCAGGCTCTATCACAACATGCCATCCCAGTCAAATGGATGTCGCAGGAAATCTACTCAGCATTTTATAGTTATTTTTTCCACACAACTACACCCCCCAAAAAAACCTGAATTATCCCTTACACCTGGGACAAGTCTGAGAGTAAACTCACTTAGTAAGCTCAACAAAATGAGTGAGTCATCCTTAGTTACACAGAACTACCACACACACACACCAGTCAGCAGCCGTTTTTCAACTAAAGAATAACTAGGTGTTCTGTATAAGAAACATTATTGTGCTTGTAAATCAGGCCTGAAACGACTTCACTTGGAAAATACAGGAAACCTTAATTCCCCATTTCACAATTCCAGGTGCGGATTATTTACAACGCCCAAGCCAATCACTATTTCAGGAAAACGTGGCCTAGAGCCATTAATCTCTCTGGTAAGCATCTGGAAGTTTGGCCCTTGATTTACTAAGGGAAGGGAAACTCTGTCCATATAATAGGTGCTAATCTGCTCAACACCTTGTAGCTTCCTCACTAATTGAAGACTCTTTTCTCAATTAAGAAAGTGAAACATTCTTCCAGACTCTCCTGAGGGAGGAATGCTTCCTAGGCTGCAATGTAATAATAGATTCTAGCAATAAAGGTTAAATACCTCAAACCTTCTCCTCCGTTGTAAGGATAATCAGCAGGCCTTCTAAAATATTCCTAGGAAGTACTCAAGCCTTAATGGCAGAAGGCAATCAATAACATTAAGTCCCACCAATTGGGGAGAACCTGAATTTAAAATTCCTATTATTTCCACATTTATCTTAGCATGTTTGCTTCCAATTACAATGTATGCCAGCTTTACTGTCTTGCTTCAATTACCTGGGCCCAATTTCACAATTATTGCAGCCTTGGAAAACTCTTTATAAAAGCTAATCTTAATTTTAGGACTTCACTTCCAGAAGAAAATGAGAGATTTCAAGCAAATTAATATGGAATGTAAACAGGGTAACATTTAGGGAAATATTTTAGACAAATTCTCTTTCAACAAAAACAAAAAAAAGTAATTGGCAATGCCAGGAAAAACATAAGCATTATTCAAAGATAAAGCAATTTAAAGTAGGGTGTGAATCTGAACTGCTCACTGAGCTAAAGATGAAAATTCATTTGTCCTTATCAACATGAACCTCCTCTTTCAAGTGATGCATGGGTTGGCTTTGATCTCACAGTGAAGACAACATTGTTTCTTGATAAAAAAATGTAAACAATGCTTATTAATTTTTAAAATAATGTATCATCAGTTAAAAGGCAAGTCTTGCACAAGCTACTATAAAATAAAAAATGCTATCATTCCAGACAATTTTCCACAGTTGAAGGTAGAAAACAGTGACCAGGTGGAAGAGTAAAGACAATAGTATCACGTCAGACTATGACAAGTTGGTGGGAAAAGAACATTAATTGGTTATACAGTGGATAAGAAACACGTTAATATAAGAATACTCGATTTTATTATATAAGGGAAGAATATCAAACTTCAAAACCGGAAGCACAAAATACACATGATAGCATTATTTCTGAGTAAATTTCAGAAGCGGACAAGATAAATGCGTGGTGTTAAGACACTATCTTTGAGGGACAGTAGGAAGGGAATGGGAAGGAGCGTCTGAGGGCTGGCACTGATGTCTCTTGACCTGTCACACTAGTGTGTTACTTTGTGAAAAAGCACTGAACTGCACAAACAACGTCTGACCTTTTCTGTCCAATAACAGTTTTTAGAAAGAACAAAAGAGAGGATAGATGGTAGCAGAAATACAAGTGAGCTCAGAACCAATGGTATCTCATGCTAATAAATTTGCAAATCAGTAAATATGACAAATAAGACAAAAAAAAAAACCCTGCACATTACATTAATATTCTGCTCACATTTAGGACTTTTGACAGCCCTGAGCAAAGTAAGGGTACACATTCAGACTTCTATTTAGTTTGAGCAAGTAGAGCTGCATATTCAACACACATCTGTTTCCTTTGCAAATATCAGTTTCACATGAATCCGATGTTTTTTCAGGACTACTACAAGATTCAATATCTATCATGATTAAACATTTACGTAAGGAGCTATTGGTGCATATTAAAAATAGAACTGTTTAGGATTTCCCTGAATGTACCTCTGGTATTAAGCATCAAAACTGAAAGGAGCAGGGAGATGAGAGGCTGTAAAAACAAATTCAACAACAAAAGCATCTCTTGCTGCTGCAATGCCACTGCAAAGGACAGTTAACCCAGTCACATTAAATAATTAGCAAAAACAGAAAACACTTGCAATAAGAATGCATGCTGTCTTTGAATTCTTGCACCAATGACACTCTGACCAATGATTTACTATAACAAATTCTTCTGCAAGAAATTACACTCTACGTAAAGTCAGAAACTGCAAATTTTTGAAAAACCAGACATCTAATTGATTTGGAAATTTCTTCATTTACCTAAATTTTCATCAATCTGATATCTAAACTGTTTTGTACGAAGACTCAGCATTCTACAGAAGTCAATTCTCCTAACTGATGACCTCAATCAAAATACCAATAATAATTTTTCTAGCAAATGATTAACGACTGACTGCAGAGTACACATGGAAATATAATCAGACATGGATAGCTATAAAAATACCAGAAACAAAAAGCAATGATAAATAATCTGTCTGAATGCTAAGACATGCAACATACAGTAAAATGGTAAGCCACTCTTGCAAGAAAATACAATCAACAGACAAAAGAGAGTTCAACAATACACCCAAGAATGCGCTGGAATTCAGACACAGCATTCAAATCAGTGGCAAAAAGATAGATGACTTAATAAATTGTGACCAATCATCTAGCTTTCTTTGGGGGGGGGAGCTCCCTAACACTCCATATTTTATTTTTCTCATTAGCATGAAGATTTACAACATATACTTTAATTACAATTGGATCTAAATACTAAGAAGTCAATGATATAAAATGAGCTGCAAGCAAAGAGGGCCAAGCAGCAACTAAATATGTGAATCTGGCTGTGTAGGAATTGCAACGAACTGGAAAACATTAGTCCCTGCTTTTTCAGTCAGCTTAAAAAAAAAAAAAAAGATCAAATCTCTGTGAAGCAAATGCATAAAACAGATGTCTGCAGCAGAAAATCAAGTGGGAGTTCTGGTTGACCTTTAGGCCGAGGGGACCTGACATTGTGGCACACCTGAAAAGCATACCACTAGCAAGTTCCACATTAGGTAGTTTACATCCAAAAAATATTCAAAACTATCTGAACACTGCTAGACGGCAATGTGAACCCACTGTTGCTAATCTTAAAAATTCCAAGAGCTTTGTTATGTAACAAATGTTGGCAAATAATCTCTCTTTCAGAAAGCTGTGAGGAAGCCAACCAAACCCCATATGTTGACCAGACCTGTCCCATGGGCCACCAGCTTACAAGCTCTGATTTAAATGCAAAAAAGTGCTAGCAAAAAGCACATGCCACCATTTTCACAATATTGGCACAGGAAGGACCTGTATAAGCAAACCAAAAACTAGAACCTATAAAGGATAAGACCTTTAATACACAAAAATTTAAAACTTAGGTGTATTGTAAAGAAACCTCAAGACAAATGAGAACTCCTTCCTTTTATCTCTGGTCTCTAGTTCCATGTGGAGAGCTGCAACCTGGGGTACCCGTCTTCCTGTGGTGGGGGAGGAGAGGGTCCCCCAGGGCGACAGAGTGGAGGAATTTTCTAAATGAACTGGAGAGGGCAGAGGAAGCGGCAAAGCCTCAAGGACTGTCTTTAGAGGTACCATCATTCATTGTTACTTAGTAAATACTACACGTTTCAATCAACATTTTCTTATACTTTAATATAATTTGGAACAGCATTTGATCACTGATATTCTTGCTCGATATTCAATGAGTTCATCTTCATGAAACTGATTTTGGAATACATTCCCTGCCATCACCCCTGGTCCCTTAGTTTGTGTATGTAATAAGGCATTGAAGAGTGTGTGCACAGTCCAGGGAAGACATATGAAGGTAATAAAATGTAACTATGACAGAATCCCCTCCATCCAGGCTCTCTTAAAGGAATGGATTGACCATATCTGCTTCAGCATGCACTAAATACAAATATATTTCCCCCGAAAAAACTACAATATGGACTTGTGTCTGAAATGCAGAATTAAGATGCTGATCTAATCTAATGTCCACATTTTAAAGACACGAGTTAAGAGATTCAGAGATTGCTAGATTTATAGAAAAAATGTAGCTAGTCTAGCAGGTTTGACTTTAGGGAGAAAAAATTCAAAATTTCTAACATTTCCTACTCCAGAATTCACACACACACATACAAAAATAACAAATTTACTTTTTGAAAAGCTAATTCTAAAACTGAGCCTCAGCTGGTCTGGGGACATGGATCGCATGCTTACCTGTTGCTGCTGCCGCCGGTGACTCTATCAGGGAATGCCATTGCTGCAGTCAGTGCCAAGCGGCAAGTCCATTCATCTGCAAAAAAAAAAAAAAAAAAGGAGTGAACTCATGACTTATTTGAAGACAAAGTTCTCATTTGAATTAGATGATGGGATGATTTTTCACCAACTCCCAGTTTGAATAGGTGAACATACATCAAAGACCAAATACATCCTTAATTTGCATATTTCTACACATCTCAGCAAACACACACACACTATCATGGGGAAATGAAATCTCAATCTCCTTTTAACTTATTTTTTAGCACTATGTTAAGCTCGTCACATAAATATTACAATAAACTTGCAAAGTAAATAAAAGATGTGAATATCCAATTTTATAGATAAGACAGACTCAGATGTAAAAAATTTGCCAGAGATTACAAGTTCTATCAGCATACTCAAAAAAAAAAACCCACTATCCAGTAGGAAAGGGGAGGAAATCAACAAGTGATCTTCAATGCTTGAATGTAACCAGAAATGGGCCCCAGCAAAAGCCAATATTAAGATTTTACTTTTACTCATAAACGGTACTTAATCCTTTAGACAAATTTCTTGAAGCAGAAATGCAGTGTAGGAAATTTATTCAATCTGAGCAGCAGCCTTGGATATCTTGTGTATGTCTAGAAACAAGCCCTCTCAGGTTAACACTATCAACAGCTGTTTCCTTTTCCCACTCTTGTATATATTTGTAAAGTGTACTATCCCGACTTGCTTTAAATAGCACCTATTTTTTTTTCAAACATCCTTAAGGCAAAGGTACCTTACTAAATTATCATAGTACAGATATAACAAACTACTTGATGCAAATGGAAACACTACATTAAATATGTAATCATTTTAACAGGCCTAGTAGGATGAAGAGGCAAAAAACGTTACAATGTGAGCTAAAGCTGGAACACTAAACAAGGTCCCTCATAGCTCTATTCTGACTACTGATAAGGTCTGTTATCTCCCTCTCCAAGAAATTTAGATTGTTGACTTGCTAACTACAATGTTTCCACCCTAGCAGATATGATCACTTTATCTCCTTTTTCAAAAAATTGCAACATGCTGTTGCATTTATTCTAGTTAAACTGGCACTGGCAGGGCTTAAATTTTGCAGTGTCAAACATGTTTTGAAGTCATTAACTCCAACCGGCCACAGTGGTCCTAGAAAGTTTCACAAATCTTGCTCTCTCCCCTCTCCTTTCCTCCCCTCCCCCACCACTTTCTCTTTTGCTATTTTCCCTTCCCTCTTTGCCCCAATCCTTTAAGTATATTCTGTCTCCTAAGTATATTCTGAGAGCACCTTTGCTGGGTGCTCTCATTTTCTGGCACACAGTAAGTAATCAATGAAACGGTGTTGTTTGTAAATTAGCATCATTCTTCATAATATTTCCTTAACAGCATCAGGAAACTCAAAGTCCCGCTGTCATCCCCCCACTATCAATGAAATATGTTCAACGCTCCTGCAACTCAACAGCACCCATCCACAGAGCCTTAGCAGGACAACAGCTAGGCAGGGGAAAGGTTAGGCTCTTGCTAGCCACCAATCTGTAGATGTGTCTATTCATCTACTCAATGAAGTAGAAAACACTTTTTGAGCATCAGCTCTGAGCATGGGTACTGAGAAAAATGAGCGAAGAAAATAGACTACTGCCACCCCTGAGCTTACATACTGCAGAAAACAAAGATGTATTAATAAAAAACATACAGATGTTAGGGCCTGGCACTGTGGCCTAGCAGCTAAAGTCCTCGCCTTGAACACCCCAGGATCCCATATGGGCACCTGTTCTAATCCAGGCAGCTCTACTTCCCTTCCAGCTCCCTGCTTGTGGCCTGGGAAAGCAGTCAAGGACTGCTCAAAGCCTTGGGACCCTGCACCCACGTGGGAGACCCGGAGGAGGTTCCTGGCTCCTGGCTTTGGATTGGCTCAGCACCAGCCATTGTGGTCAATTGGGGAGTGAATCTGGGGAGTGAATCTTTGGATGGAAGATCCTCCTCTCTTTCTCTCCTCCTCTCTGTATATCAGACTTTGCACTAAAAATAAATAAATCTTTAAAAAAAATTGTCAAAAAATATATATACGATGTTAGACATTTAAAAGTATTATAGAGCAATCAGTACTATAGAATGCCAGAGAAGAAATAGAGTGGTGCTGCAATTTTATACAGGGTATTGTTTTAGAGAATCTAACACTTGCACAAAGACTTTAGGGGGTGGTCACAGCCATGCATGTCTTGAACAGAAAGTAATCCTGGAGACTGATAGAAAGACAGAGATGAGTGAACCCGGGGGTGTGGCCACTCGAGAGCCTCAACATTCTGGCTGAGTGGGTGGGTGGGATACAAAGTGAGGGAGACCCATACCAATGGCACAGCAGGGGTCCTGCCTGCACAAAATCCCTAATTTGGCTGCAAGGCAGGATTCTCCCCACAGTGGCAAGGGTAGGCAGACTACATCACTAGACTGACTCGTGTCTTAGTCATGCTTCAAAAGAAGCACCAGACTCAGCCTGCAAAAGGCAGTTTAGAGTGCTGACGTATGAGCTGCGCAACTGCTACCGCCACGCACGCAACTCGGACCTAAGGGCTGGTTGGCCGATTGCAGGCAGGAAATCATTGTGCTAAGCCATGGCCAAGAAAAGAATTTAGCATATGTTTCAGTTTAGCAATTCTCCTCCAAGAAATCATTCTCAAAAATATAGTTACAGTGTAAAAGGAAATTCTGCAACAAATACTGTTTATCGTATTTTTTTTATAAAGTGGCAACAACATCACACATACCAACACATAAATAGCCAAATCAATTATGGCCTACAATAATGAGATGTAATGTAGCATCAAAAATAATGAGATAGGTTTATCTAAACAACATCCAAATAAAATGTACAACACGAGCCAATTAGTTTAAAAAGAAAATGCTTTGTTTTCAAGGAAATGCATAACACACAGTGTTTAGAAAAACATACACCAAATGCCTAACAGTAGCTTTTCTGGAATGGGAAGAGAATTGGATGAAGAGTAGCGAGATCCAAAGGGAGAGATACATATTTTATTTTTTTTTTTAAGATTTATTTTTTTATTGGAAAGGCAGATTTAGAGAGAGAAGAGAAAGAAACATCTTCCATCTGCTAATTCATTCTCCAAGTGGCCACAATGGCCAGAGCTGAGCTGATCTGAAATCAGGAGCCAGGAGCTCTGTCTGGGTCTCCCACACAGGTACACGGTCCCAAGACTTTGGGTCATCCTTCACTGATTTCCCATGCCACAAGCAGGGAGCTGGATGGGAAGTGGAGCAACCAGGATATGAACTCACGATCATTTGGCGGGCCACATTCCAAGTGAAGATCTAGCCACTAAGCCATCTCGCTGAACCCCGTATTTTATTCTTATGCTGTGGATCTTTTGAACAATATTTCATGGTTCTGTTAACTTACAAAATTAAAATGAAAAAATATTGGGACCAACATGGTGGCATAGCCCGCTAAGCCTCCTCCTACAGCATCAGCAACCCATACTGGTGGCTGTTCATGTACTGGCTGCTCCACTTGCTATCCAGTTTCCTGACTGTGGCCTGAGAAAGAAGTAGAGAATGGCTCAGGTACTTGTGCCCCTGAACCCACATGGGAAACCTGGAAGAGGATCCTGGCTTTGGATCAGCTCAGCTCCAGCCACTTGTGGCCATTTGGAGCAGTGAAATCAGAGGATGGAAGATTTCTCTCTCTCTCTCTTTCCCTCTCTCACTCTTTCCCTGTGTAACTCTGACTTTAAGATAAGCAATAAAATAAGCATTCAAAAAAATTACTAGGATTGACATTGTGGTACAACAAGGAAAGCTGTGTGATGGTAGCATGCAATATATGATAGTGCTTGTATAAATCTTGGCTATTCCACTTCCAATTCAACTTCCTAGTAATGCACCTGGGAAAGCAACAGGATGGCCTGGAGTACGTGGGCCCCTGTCGCCCACAAGGGAGAGCCAAATGGATTTCCCTGGTTCCTGCCTTTAGGTTGGCCTTGACTTGGCTGTTGCAGCCACTTGGGAAGTAAACCAGCAGACTGAAGAACCTTTTCTCTGTCTCTCCCTCTCTTCACCTCTCTTTCAAATAAACCCAGCTTTAAAAATATTATA